CCTCCACATTTGTTCTTCTTTTTTAAGATTGTTTGCCTTCCCAGCTTCTGTTGCAATTTGTATGAATTTTAATATTAAAAAATACCATAAGGAACTTGATAGAGGTTGCATTGAATCTGTAAAGTACTTTGGGTAGCATTGTCCTCTCAACAGTATTAAATCTTCGAATCCATGAACATGAGGTACATTTCCTTATTTTAAATATCTTCTTTAATTACTTTCAGCAGCATTTTTTGGTCTTTTCAGTGTTCAGTACTTTCACTTCTTTTTGATTCCATTATAAGTGAATTTTTAAAAAATTTCCTTTTTAGATCGTTCATTATAAGTTCTCTCTAATCTGTTTTTATTACTTTCTTCATTTGTTTTATTTTCTTGAATTTGGACATTGCTATTTTCTATGCACTTACTAAATTTTTATCCTTTGTGTTTCTTGCTAGTAATCTTTTTCTTCATTTTTCATCAATCCCTTCAGTTTCCGTTTCACATTTTTCTATTACTTTCCCACATCCTCTCTGAGTTTTTGCTTCATGGTACTCTTTCAAGTATGTAGTTGCTTGTGTGAAATTTTTATTTACTTCATGTTGGAATTTTACTTTGCTTCATGTCACAAATTTTAATATGCATTTTCTTGCCCAGAATTTATTATGACTGTTGTTTTCTATTGGTCCTCAAGTATCCTTGTAAAAATAATTCCGTGTAATTTTTCTTATTTATAATAGAATGTATTGAACTTCATGGACCAATTAGCAGGGCAATTCTATGTGATAGAAGAGGAGAATCTTGGATATTTTCCACTTTTATTAGTTTGAAAGTGCCTTTTCTTATTGCTCAAATTAAAGACAGTTTCTTTAATGTGTAGGGACCTTTTGGGAATCAGTGTTCCCATGATCTTTCTATTCTGTCTGTTTCAGTAGCCTCCCTTACGCCAGTTGCCTCCTTACTTTTCTTTAAAACTGACTGCTGCCTACGTAGAGTGCCACCACCTTCTAATATATTTCCCTCCCTTGACATCACAAGCAGTCTTCTAAGACTTCCTTTAATACCCTCAACTTTGAAAACTCCTTTTCATTCCTTTTGTTGTTTTTGTTGTTTATTCGATAAGTTGTGTCCAACTCTTCTGCGACCCCATGGACTGTAGCCCACCAGGCTCCTCTGTCCTTGGGATTTCCCAGGCAAGAATACTGGAGTGAGTTGCTGGTTCCTTCTCCAGGGGATCTTTCCGACCTCAGGATTGAACCCATGTCTCCTGCATTGGTAGGTGGATTCTTTACCATTGAGCCACCTACGAAGCCCTTCTTCTTCTTCTTCTTTTTTAAAGAATTAATTATTTTTAATTTTTAAAAATTTCCACCTGTTCTGCATGGGTTGTGGAATCCTAGCTTCTTGACCAGGGATTGAAACTGGGCCCCTGCTGTCAGTAGTTTCTGTTCAACATGAGATCTCTCCTTCTTAGGGTAAATCTTCATTGAAATTTTCCAGATGCCACCCACACAAAAGCCTCTCTGGATTTTTCACTTTTCTTCACAACTCTCCTTGTTCTCTTCTGAACACTAGAAGCTCCAGCACCAACTCTGTTGCTTTCTGGGCTTTAGTTCCACACCTTTGCTTAACTTGAGGTTTGTATTCTTCCTTGTTCTTTTGTTTCATGGGGTGTTTCTTGGTGCTTTTTCTCTCCTTGTTGCTCTCTACAGTCATTAAGAGAATGTGTGGAGAGATACACAACTAACCAGTATTATTCTGTAGAAATCCTTACTTGGATAATGTACCTCTCTTACTTGATTTATTAGCACTAGTTGATACCTTTTGAACTACCACCACTATCACTTCCTCAAAATAAACTGAGTGGTAAATAATTAGCCAACTTAAATCTCTTCCTCCTCTTCCCCTCCTAGTTTTGTACTGGCAAGATTTGTAATATTTACATTATACCTGTATTTGTTTTAGTCTTAAGACATCTTTTAGTTAAATAAATTCACTAAGACAATCATTTTGCTCTAGTTTTCCCATTTTTTTCTTTTTGGCTGTAGTTCATCCTTTAATAGTCTCTTCAAGAAGAGCTCATGCATTTATGGTCAGCTAATCTACAACAGAGGAGGCAAGAATGTACTTAATGGTGAGAAGATAGTCCATTCAATACGTGGTGCTGGGAAAACTGGGCAGTCACATATAAACAGTGAAATTAGAACATTCCTTCACACCATGTACAAAAATAAACTCAACATATTTTAAAGACCTAAATGTAGGACGTGACACCATAAAGCTCCTAGAAGAGAACCTGACAAATCATAGCGATACTTTCTTTGATCAGTCTCCCCAGACAAAAGAAATAAAAACAAAGGAATGGGACCCAGTCAAACTTAAAAGCTCTTACACAGCAAAGGAAAACAGCAGCAACAAAAAGACAGCCTAAGGAATGGGAGAAAATACATGCAGATGATGCGACTGACAAGGGTTTAATATCCAAAGTATACAGACAGCTCATACAACTCAGTATACAAAATCCAGTCAAGAAATGGGCAGAAGATCTAAGTAGACATTTTTTCAAAAAGGACATACAGAAGGCCAATAGGCACATGAAAAGATGCTCAACATCACTAATTGTTAAGAAAGATGCCAATCAAAACCACAATGAGAGATCACCTCACACTGGTCAAAGTGGCTGTCATTAAAAAGTCTACAAATAACAAATGTTGGAGAGAATGTAGAGAAAAGGGAACCCAGGTACATAGTTAGTAGGAAAGTAAATTGATGCAGCCACTATGGAAAACAGTATGGAGGTTCCTTAAAAAAACTTAGAATAGCGATACCATATGATCAGCAGGTCCACTCCTGGGTGTATATCTGGAAAAAATGAAAACATTAGTTAAAAGAGATACCCAGTGTTCATAATAGCACTATTTATAATAGCCAAAGCATGGAAGCAACCCAGTGCCCATCAACAAATGGTTAAGAAGATGTGGGATGTATGTATGTGTATGTGTATATTACTCAGCCATAAATGAGAATGAATTATTGCCATTTCTGGCAATGTGGATACACCTAGAGGATATTAGGGTTAGTGAAATGTCAGAGAAGATAAATATTGTATAACTTATATGTGGAATCTAAAAAAGAAATAGTACAAATGAATCTGTATACAAAACAGAAACAGACTCACAGACATAGAAAACAAGCTTATGATTACCAAAGGGGAGAGGGAGGAGAGGAGGGGCAAGTTAGAGGTGTGGGATTAACAGGTACAAACAAGTCCTACAAAATATGTTCTCTGACCATATGGAATTAAAGTAGAAACTAATAAAGATATATGGAAAATCCTCAATATTTAGAAACTAACATACTTCTAAATAACCCACAGGACAAAGAAGGACCTACATTACCTGTCTGCCAGCAACAAGGATTTACTGTTTAGCACAGATGAATCATACCCCAAATCTTATAATAACACTTAGTGAAATATAATCTGCAAAAATACTGAATCACTACGCTATACACCTGAAACTAATAAAACATTGTAAATCAACTGTACTTCAGTAAACAGCTATCATTTCTCCGCTGAATTACCTTTGTACATTTATGAAAAATGATTTTTTACTTGTGGGTCTGCTTCTGGACTCTTGATTTCTGTTTTATTCATCTGTTTATATTTATGCCAGTATCATATTACCTAGATTACTGTAGCTTTATAGCAAGTCTTAAAATCAGGTAATGTTTGTCCTTCTTTGTCTGGTGGATTATTTAGAAGTATGTTAGTTTCCAAATATTGAGGATTTGGTCTTTATTATTTTCTACTTTAATTCCATATGGTCAGAGAACATACTTTGTATGACTTAATCCTTTTAAATTTATTATCACAATTTGAGGCCCAGAGTAAGTTCTATCTTGGTAAGTTTTCCATGTGCATATGAAAAGAATATGTATTCTGTTATTATTGGGTAGACTGTTCTATAAATGTCAATTAGAAAAAGTTGGTTAATGGTGTTTTTCAAGTCTTCTATATCTTACTGATTTTGGCTCAGTTATTGAGAATGAAGTATTTAAATCTTTAAGTGTAATTGTAGTTTTGTTTACTTCTCTTTGCTGTCCTATTTGTGTCTGCTTTAAGTGTTTTGAAACTCATAGTTACACAAATATTTAGAATTGTATATCTTCTTGATAAGATGATCTCTTTATTTGATTATGAAATTACTTCCTTTATTCCTGGTAGTAGTCTTTGCTCTGAATTACTTGGTGTAATATTAACAGCAACTTCATCTTTCTTTTCAGTAGAGTTAATATGGTATATCTTTTTCTATCTTTTTACTTTTAATCTATATGTATTTTTATATCTAAAGTGAATATCCTATAGAGAGTATTGTGGGCTTACCTCTTTAGGTTATCATGTTTTTCATGATTTGAAAGTATTATTATGAACTCTTAATTTAAATAAGTTTTTTCGCTGTGTTTTATCCATTTAAAGAATTGTCTTGAATATGAAGTAGGTCTGAATTCTCTAGCTATTACCAGTTTTTTTTTTTAATCAGTAAATTAGTTAAAAAAAAAAACTAACAAGCACCTAGTGTATGACAGACATTTTTCTGGTAATGGAAATATGGTGGCAAGGAAATCAAAGTCCTATCCCTCAAGAATCTAACAGTCTAGTGGCAAAATGTGTTCATTTTTTCTATATAAGCTGATTTGGAAGCAATTATAATAAAAATCATACACACACATGCACATACATATATATATAATCTTTAGGCAAATGTTAGTCCCTTCTTTCTGAGAGCTTCCTTGGTAAGCCTTACCCTCAAATAATGGACTTTTTTATGCCAGGCAGAATTGAAGGGCTTGATATAAGCTTGCCCAAAATCTTAGTGGAGGAAGCTCAGAAGAATGAACCTGAGGAGATGGGAATGATTGTAACATTTAATAGGTAACTATGAGTTCACCACATAACAAACTTGGATTGGGGTATTGTGACATTGACGAATATGTGCTTATGTCTTTTCTGTCTTCTACAGACATTCAAGAAACAGCCTCTAACATAGAAAAAGGGTCATTGGAAACCCTTGGACTCTGGCCATCTTCCAGCCAGCCTAGATCAAAAGAACCCTCAAATACCCAAGCTCCTTCTGTATCACAGCAGCCCCCGAGGAGGAAGCTGTCACACCATCAGGATCCTCCTAAGGGAAACATGCTACCAGGGGTTGCCAAGAACATCAGATCACCAATGTCCCCCAAGGGGAATGTCAAACCACCTGCGTCTCCCAAGGAGAAAATCAAGCCACCAGTGTCCACCACGGGGGACATCAAACCACCAGCGCCACTCAAGGGGGAGGTCAAACCACCAGTGCACCCCAAGGGGGTGGTTAAACCACCAGCACCCCCCAAGATGGAAGCCAGACCACTAGCATCCCCCAAGAGAGAGGTCAAACCACCAGTGCCCCTCAAGGGGAAGGCCAAACCACCAGTGTTCTCCAAAGGGCAGGTCTAATCACCAGAGGCACACAAGGGGGAGGTCATAGCACCAGCATCCCCCAAGAAGACCATCAAACCAAGTTTGTACCTAAGTGATCATCAGACAGACACCTCCCCCACAACTGAAACATAATAACTCCCTACCACAAAGAGTCTAGACCCACAGAACCCACCAAAGACACCCCAACCCTGAAATTCAACCCTGAGGCCCCTGTTGTTGAGTTCTCCTCTGAGGAACCCTTTCACATAGTACATTCCTCCTCTACTCGTGTGTCATCATTCTCGTGCAGGATGTTCTTGGAGGCAATTTAGCCACAGTCGCTTTCTCCTTCCTCTCTGTACCTCAGGGTGACCTGATGGTAGAGAAAGGTCAACAAAGGAGTTCAGGAGAGCTAGGGAGACTCACAAAAACCATTCTTGTCTAGCCTTTCTATAAAGAATGCATTTCAAGGGGATGAGCAAATGGAAAATACTTGTTATCCTGGAGCTGGAGCTGGTTTCTCTCCGGGTGTCAGAGGGTCTGTCTCATCCTAACCCTTCGTAATATTCCCCACTAAAGGAGTGGCTGTGGTGAACATCAGCATGCAAATAAAGGCAACCTTTCAGGAACTGAGAAGGTAATTGATACAATCTTTGGGGCCCTACAGTGTGCGTGGGGTGCTTCCTCATAGCTTGTCGCTGGCTGATTCCCCAATGGAATGATGCGTTTAATCCCATGTCCACCCAGTGACCTTTGGCCATCAAGGGAAACTAGAACTAAGAACCCAGTGTTAGAAGCAGTGAGTTGCATCCCACTGTGTGACCATCACCTATTCCCCCTCCTTCTCTGGACCTCGTATTCCCATGTATATGATGATGCGCAGGGTGTTGCCTCTGTTCTAGTTGGAGATCTTGGTGAAGGGGTGAGTGGTCAGGATGTCCTGTGGGAGCAGTGGGAGTCTGAAGCTGCACAGCTGGACTATCTGGCCTCACTGTCCTCAGCTCCAGCCCAGAGACACCACCCACATGAAAGCCTCGGGCCCTCAGATGGGGAAAGGAGCCAGAGGTTAGAGTCCAGCTGTGCCACAGAGCTGCTGTGGGAGGCAGGCCGTGGTTGGGACCAGCTAGTAGGGCCTCCAAGGAAGCCCAGGAGGCCGTCAGGTGTGTGGGGCTGGAATTGGAATTTTAAGAGCCTCAAGAAATGGAAACTGTTGTCCCAAATAAGATGATTCAGTGGAATTGGAAGAGGGATACAAGAAGATACAGCCTTGGGGAACACAGAGTCTGGGCTGGGTAGAGAAGCAGCCCAGGGAAGTACCTGAGAGGAAGACCAAGGAAGATGTGAGGAAAACCAGGTAAGTGGGCCCATGGGGCCAAGGGGAGCTTGGAGGTCATGCCCTCTTTACCAGCAGCCCCAGGTGTGCCCTCCTGTGTCAGTGGTAGGACTCTGCCTTCTGGGCTCTTTGGAAGGAACTGCTCAGGCCCACACATCTGAGCATGTTACCCCAGCACAGACGGCCACCCTGACTAATGTGAGTAAAGAGCATTTTGGAGGGAGGAAGTGGGTGGTAACATCTGATGATGCTGAAAGACCAAGCACTAAAGAGTTGAATGGATTTAGGACTTTGTAACTCAAGCAAGGACTTTGTAACTCAGGGAACAGTTTTGATGGAGAGATGAGAGGTAAGGAAGTTGACACAGCAAACATGGACAACCTCTCAAGACATGTGGCCAGCAGGGTGGATGAAGTGAGGATGGTGGTGACTGATAGGGTCTCTTGGAGTCTGGGCCTGGGGGCCTTTGTTAGAAGTACAGACAGAAAAGCCTACCCCTGCCTATTCTTCCCTGTCACTGCTCACCATCGTTCTGGAATCGATGAGGCTGATCCCATACTTGTTGATGGCAATTAAGAGGATCTTCCCAAGTGGTGCTAGTGATAAAGAACCCGCTTGCCAATGCAGGAGACAGATGTGGGTTCAATCCCTGGGTTGGAAAGATCCCCTGGAGGAGAGCATGGCAACCCAATCTAGTATTCTTGTCTGGAGAATCCCATGGATGGCAGAGCCTGGTGGGCTACGGCCCATAGGATTGCGAAGAGTTGGACACAACTGAGCAACTTAACATTCATGCACATGAAAGTTTGGCTCTGTAGTTTGCTAGTAAAAAAAAGAAAACCCACAGTCTGGGTTCATCCTTAGGTGGGGAACCCGGAGCAGCAAATGTTCTGTATGTTTGGGGCAGGAATGAAGCTGCCCCCAACTTGGCTTAAGTTTGCCTTTCTTGCCACAACCTCATGGTTTCTGCCTCTGCTGGGTCCTCAGTACTATGCCAGATCCCTTCATGGGTCCCCAACAAACCCGGCATCAGTTTCATTCCTTCTGTCCTTGTCTTTAGAAGTCTCTCTTGTCACTCTTAGCTCTAAAGTCTGTCACCTTTAAAAGGCCTCCTTGAACCCTATACTTGCCTCCAGGTGTACTTGCCTACCTCTCTCTCGCATGCGCAGCCAGACTTCTCAAAGAGCCCTCGTCCTAGGTGTGTAACAAGGCCACCCATTCTCTCCATCCTGACCTCCAGCCCCTCACACCAGTCTTTTCTCCATTCCCCTGTCCCTCAGATCCTGTCAAGGTGGGCTCAGGCCCCATCATCCCTGTTCAAAATCTTCCAATGCTGGGTATCACCTTCAGGAAGAAACCTACCAGTCTCTCCTGCTCAAGAACCTGCCTCTCACCACAGTCTGCTCGCTTCACACCTCATGCCCGTCCACACTCAACCACTTGTACTTCCTGCCCAGGCCTGAGCTCATACCTCTGGGTCTTTGCTCAGGCCAAACTGTCTGCCAGGAACACTCCCTCCAGGGGCTCCCTGGAAAGCTGAGGTGTTGCCTCTCCCAGGAAGCCTCAGCCTTCACAATCTGTTTGGGCCTCACATCAGCTATTCCTTATTTCTGTATCTGACATTTCCTAATCATTAACACTTGAGCTAGCGTTTTGAGACTCAGGGGAGCCTGTGGGAGACTTAAAAAAAAAAGACAGGGACACAATGACTTGTCATGGTTCTAAGAGGAGAGCCTGGGAGAATTTAGATGAGGGGTGAGTGGAGTTTGGAAGGTGGGGAGGGTGTTCCATGTAACCTTCCACAGGAAGAATTTTAGGATGTTTTTCTGGCCTTGTGATTGTAAGTTTACAGTGGTATTTCTGAATCTCTCAGTTCAGTTCAGTTGCTCAATCATGTCCAACTCTTTGTGACCTCATGGACTGAAGCATGTCAGACTTCCCTGTCCATCACCAAACTCATGTCCAGTGTGTTGGTAATGCCATCCAACCATCTCATCCTCTGTTGTCCCCTTCTCCTCCCGCCTTCAGTCTTTCCCAGCATCAGGGTCTTTTCCAATGAGTCAGTTCTTTGCATCAGGTAGCCAAAGTGTCAGAGTTTCACCTTCAACATCAGTCCTTCCAATGAATATTCAGGGCTGATTTCCTTTAGGATTGATTGGTTGGATCTCCTGGCAGTCCAAGGGACTCTCAAGAGTCTTCTCCAACACCACAGTTCAAAAGCATCAGTTCTTTGGTGCTTAACTTTCTTTATGATCCAACTATCATACCCATACATGACTACTGGGAAAACCATAGATTTGACTAGATGGACCTTGCTTTTTAATGTGTTGTCTAGGTTGGTCATAGCTTTTCTTTCAAGGATCAAGCGTCTTTTAATTTTATGGTTGCATTCACCATCTGCAGTGATTTTGGAGCCCCCAAAAATAAAGTCAGCCACTGTTTCCACTGTTTTCCCATCTATTTGCCATGAGGTGATGGGACTGGATGCCATGATCTTAGTTTTCTGAATGTTGAATTTTAAGCCAACTTTTTCACTCTCCTCTTTCACTTTCATTAAGAGGCTCTTTAGTTCTTTGCTTTCTGCCATAAGGATGGTGTCATCTGCGTAGCTGAGGTTATTGATATTTCTCCCGGCAATCTTGATTCCAGCTTGTGCCTCATCCAGTCCAGCATTTCTCATGATGTACTCTGCATATAAGTTAAATAAGCAGAGTGACAATACAGAGCCTTGACATACTCCTTTCCTGATTTGGAACCAGTCTGTTGTTCTATGTCCAGTTCTATTTGTTGCTTCTTGACCTGCATACAGATTTCTCAGAAGACAGGTCAAGTGGCCTGGTATTCCCATCTCTTTCAGAATTTTCCAAAGTTTATTGTGATCCACACAGTTAAAGGCTTTGGCAAAGTCAGTAAAGCAAAAGTAGATGTTTTTCCAGAACTCTCTTTCTTTTTCGATGATCCAACAGATGTTACCAATTTGATCCTTGCTTCCTCTGCCTTTTCTAAATCCAGCTTGAATATCTGGAAGTTCACGGTTCACCTGCTGTTGAAGCCTGGCTTGGAGAATTTTGAGCATTACTTTCCTAGC